GGCGGCCTCGCCGCGCTCCTCTTTCACCGCAGCCAGTGCCTCCGACTGCGAGGGTGGCGGCGGCGGCCCACTCTCGGCGGTCATGGCTCAGCCGTCCCGCACGTCTCCAGGCGATTGCGCCGCGGGTCGCTGTCGAGGGTCCAAGTGGGGACCGGTCCGAGGTGGGAACTCCGGACGTGGGGTCCCTGAAACTGAAGCTACGGCCCGCGGTGGGGAGCTCTGGAAGACCTCTCAGGCTGGCACCGAGAGCACAACTGCCGGGGCTGGGGCGCGCTGGAGGCTGAATGCCTTGGCTCACAAGGATAGCACAGTACCGACAGAGGCTCGCGAATGCCTTGACCACTTACGACTCAGCTCGTGTTCTGGGGTTCAAGGCCAGGAGGCGGCGCGGGGACCGGAACTGAGCTCAGGTCACCGGCCCGAAGGGTCCTTGGCACGCTGGCGCCAGACCATGAAGGGGTCTGGAAGTGGTTCTGGGGTTTGGGCCGCTGCAGCTAGTCTGGAACCCCTGCTGGTCCGAAGATAGCCGTCGGGACGTGAACGTAGAGGAGGTTGCAGGTTCGGAGGCCTGAAGCTAGGGCAGTTAATGCCGGCGCGGGGCTTTCTGGCGCGGGCAGCGCATGCCGCGCCCCTACGGCCCAGGTGGCGGGCCGTACTTACGGCAGAGAGGCGAGTCCAGGCAGTAAGGTCGCGGCACTGGCCAGGGCGGGGGGCGGCCGGCAACAGCTCCCCTTCGCGGTGTTGGAATCCAAACTTCAGGACGGCTGGCGAGGTGCTCCCTTGCTTACACCCCGATCAGCTCCTCCCTCCGCAGGCTTCTCCTTAAAGGCCGCTGCAAGAGTGGGGCGGCGCCGGTTACCTGCCCGCCCCCCGGATTGCCCGCCCCGCGGGCCTCGGGCTCACCTCCTCAGGTAGGCATAGTTGTGGCGGCGCAGCAGCCGGAGCCCCACAAACGTCAGAGCAAGGAAGGCGCTTGGAGATGCCGAGGGCAGGCCCCATCAGAGCACCAACGGGAGACTGAGGTCATGAAAGTCTAGGGATATCTAGGTGTGCGCACTCAGCGCTTTCGGATTTCCCCACCTCCGGGAAGAGCTGGGACTCGCGGGTAAAAGGAAGAGCTCGCCTCACTCTTCCTGTCCTGAGAGGGTGAGAACTGACCTGGGGAGGGGGTTGGTTGGTTATTGTGGGCTGGAGGACAGAACGGGAGAAGTTTCAAGTAACTGCCTCCCAAGGTCTTTCATTGTGATTTCTAAACCCTGAGTGGGCTGTCCTGCCCACTCCGGTCACGTATTTCAGACGGAGATTCCCGGACCCGAAAGGGAAGGTGACTTGCTACTGTCCCACCGCGACTTCACTACTTGCGCCTCTATTAGGACTGCGCTTCCAGCTGCGTGTCAGAGGTAGACCCTTTCCCATTTTTTAGTCCTAGGTTCCTCAACTGTACCCAGGATTTGGATCGCAAGAGTTCTTCTGTTACCGATATTTAGGGAAAGACCATCGTCTTTGAAGGGCTTGGGACTTCTCTCTGGGTGATGGAAAGTGGAGGGAGACTAGGCTCCTGCGCTCTCGCGGTAACGGCCTTCTCTAGTCCCCCCCGGGGCCAGGGAGGACTCAGGTGCTCTCAAACTAGCAAGCAGCCCCTTCCCGCAGCGGGGTTGAGGGTGCTACTGCGGGTGCTACTGCGGGTAGGCACTTCGGCCCGGGAAGAGGCGGGCAGAGGGGACCCTTTTGCTCAGCGAGTGTTCGATTTCTAATGAAGTTTCTTGTCGTCCCCTGAAGGTAGGACTCGGTGCTAGCGTGGGACTTACCACCCTGTGGCCGCGCCGACCGGATGCACCCTGTGGCCATTATCGGGCCGGTCCCTTCCTCCTCGCTGGTCCTCGGCAAGCGCGGATCTGCAGGACGGTGAAGCCGGCTCCGGAGGCTCTGGCTAGGACGCAGTTTCCCCGTGGGGGCTGTGGGTACGAGGCCGAGCGGAGGAGAGTGCCTCAGGAGCTCCGGAGATCCCAGGTAGAGGTTTCTAGTCTGAAATGGGTGGCAGGCCTTTGGGGTTTTAGATGAGTTCTTCGGTGAGCGGGAGAGCAGGCTCTGCCCCGCCCCCGCAGTGCTTTGGGCTGCCGTCTTCGGAGGAAAGAGGCAAAAAGTCCAGATCCTCGCTCCTCTGACCCTAGCTAGTGTGGGAAGTGATCTATACCGTTTTGTTTGACTTCCCTAGCACAGGCGCTGGGAAGAACCAAGAGGGGCGCTTTACACTCGCTAAACAAAACATCCACCTTCCGTCTTTCGAAGTAAAAGAATCGAAAAGCCAGATTTCGTCCTGTTTCGTTTTTTTTTTTTTCCAAAAGGGAGAATTCTTGAAAAGCCTTTACTTTAACTGGATTGTACCACAGAAATCTTTTAATACTGATTCTTTGATTCTCTGTATTTCCAAGATTCTGAGATTTAGATTTCCAGAATTTAAATTCTGGATGATTATTCCCTCGTGATTCTGTAAAGTTCTTTGATATGGTTGTATTCTTGTGACTTTAAACTCCTGGTTAAAGTCTAAAAGCCTATTGATTATATATTAAGATACTAGAACTATGACTTTGTGCCTACTGTGAGCTGCCGCTTCTCTAGTTTTAGTTATATTTTTTTCAGCTCTAAAGTATATGCTATTTATTTTGAATTCTTATCTAGGAATGTCTAATCAGAAGTTTTAGGTCCTATAAATCCACAACTCTTCTTCCTTGATTCCAAAATGTGAGTGCTGGATCCATGGTTTTGTAGCTCAAATAATCTTATTATAGTAGATTTTCTAATATTCATTTCTGTATACTTTCATGATCAGCCCCATGACTTTATGATTCTCTACTTTTGAGCTCCGGTGATTGGCTGCATGCCTCCATGTCTCAGTATTTTCCAATCTTCAGTGTTTCATTTTTCTAGAATTCTGATTTCTCTCTCTGTCTCTTGAACTTTGTTGCTAACCAGCTACACCTTTGCTCCAGACCAAGACCTAGCCACCTGAGAATTCTCCAGATCATGAGTCTATGGTTTTCATGAACAAAGGACCCCTAAGATTCCATCCTATAAATGTTTTAGTCAAATATTACACTTTAAATTTTGTACTTTGAAGATTCTCTGACTCCATGATGTAAAATTGAGAATACATGATTTGATGAGTATAAGGATCTTGAGTTTACCCGTTTGGATCAAAATCATACGTAAAAATTTCCTCTGAGCATTTCCTTCCTTTTCTCTTTACTTTCTTCTTAGTTTCTTGAGTAGGGATGGAGTGGTCATGGTTAAGTCTTCCCCTCTTCATGTTGTGGGGCCACACTATTGAGAAACACTGGACAATGAGGGAGGGTGAATTCCCATCCCCTGGAAATCATTCTCCCAGTGCAATAGAGGTGGGATTTTGTGGCTCTTGGTGGGCCAGACAATTTCCATCTGCTTCCCTCCAGTATTCTGCCCCATGTATTCCTGACACCCCTTGGACAAACCTGAACCAACGCAG